ATTCCTTCAATGCACCTTGGATTTCTTCCTTCAGTATCATTGGCTCTTGATCATATGGTATCTTTTGAAAAAGTTGAGTATCAACTATTTCCTTTTGGTACAGTGACTCTGTGTATTCCTTCCATCTTCTATTGATGCTTCCTGCATCATTCAAAAATTTGCACAGAGAATCCTCCAATAATGGAAGTCAAGGTTTGAATTTTTTCTTCAGATCCCCAGCTTGAGAAATGCTGAGCGTGTTCTTCCTTTTTGGTTTTTTTATTCCAAATCTTTGCAATTTTTTTGTAATATTTGGCTTTATTTTCTCAAGCTGATCATTAAATTTTTCTGTTCAGGTCTTATATTTCCTCATTTCTTCCATTAGCTTTAGCACCTCTGCACTTGAGAGCAAGCTTCAGCGTCTCTTCTGACATCCATTTTGACCTTTTCCTTCTTACTTGTCTTCTTAATGACTTTTTGCTTTCTTCCTGTATGATGTTCTTGATGTCATCCCACAACTCTTCTGGTCTTCAGTCTTTAGTGTTTAATATATCAAATCTGTTCTTCAGATGATCCCTAAATTCAGGTGGAATACAGTCAAGGTCTTTTGTGGACTTGTTTTCATTTTCTTCAGCTTCAGTTTGAATTTGCATACAAGTAATTGATGGTCTATTCCAGAATCTGCCCTGGCCTTGTTTTCACTGATGATATGGCGTTTTTCCATCGTCTCTTTCCACAGATGTAGTCAGTTTGATTTCTATGTATTCCATCTGGTGAGGTCCATGTGTATAGTCATCTCTTATGCTGTCTAAAGAAGGTATTTGAAATGAACAAAGCATTGATTTTGAAGAATTCTATCATGCATTCTACAGCATCATTTCTATCACCAAGGCCATATTTTCCAACTACTGATCCTTCCTCTTGACTCCCAACCTTTGCATTCCATTCACCAGTAATGATCAATACATCTTGATTGCATGTTTGATCAATTTCAGATTGAAGAAGTTGGTAGAATTCTTCTATTTCATCCTTACTGCCTTTAGTGGTTGGTGCACAAATTTGAATAATAGTGGTATTAACTGGGCTTCCCTGTAGGCACATGGATATTATTCTATCACAGACAGCATTGTACCTCATGACTGATCTGGATATGTTCTTTTTGACAAAGAATGCAACACCATTCCTCTTCACTTTGTCATTTCCGGCATAGTAAATCCTGTGGTTGTCAGATTCAAAATGGCCAATACCGGTCTATTTCAGCTCACTAATGCCTAAGATATCGATGTTTATGCAGTCCACTTCATTTCTGACAACTTCCAACTTTCCCAGATTCATACTTCATACGTTCCATGTTCCGATTTTCAATGGATTTTTACAGTTGTTTCTCTTCATTTTAAGTTGTCCTCCATCAACAAATGAAGGTCCTGCAGGCTTTACTCCCATGGGCTTTACTCCATTTGCATCATCATGGTCAACTCTATTTTGAGGAGGCAGCTCTTCCCCAGTGGCATTTTGAGTGCCTTCCAACCTGAGGGACTCTTTTTCTGGCAGTATATTTGACAGTTTTTTCTCTGCTGTTCATAAAGTTTTTAGTGACTAAGTATCCGGAAGTAGTTGATCCCTCCTTCTTAGTCTGTCTTCATCTGGAAGCTCATCTGAAACCTGTCCACCACGGATGACCCTGCTGGTATTTAAAATGCTGGTGGTAACTCACAAGCCACCACAGTATGACAAAGTGACAGATGAATGGTGGGATAATTAATGCGTTGTTGTTGTTAAGTGCCGTCGAGTCGATTCCGACTCATAGCGACCCTGTACAGGGTTTCCGAGGCTGTAAATCTTTACGGGAGCAGAACGCCTCATCTTTCTCCCGCGGAGCGGCTGGTAGTTTCAAACTGCTGACTTTAAGGTTCGCAGCCTGATTCGTAACCGCTATGCTACCAGAGTTCCTTATTAATGCATTAGTAATAATTTTTATTTTAAGTTCATTCTGGTGACTATTTGAAATGATTTCATGTTATTGCCAAAACAGAGAACTGGTGTGGCTCCTTTTTCAAACTCAACTCTGGAATAACTATAGTGAAAAATCCGGGTTCAAGGAGGTGGCCAATAGGAGAAAGAGGAGAAGAGAATGCTGGGGGTGGGGGTTGGGGATGAAGCAGGAAGTGAGGAGCAGGGGAAGGAAAAGGAAAGGACGCAGGAAATGCGGAGCAGGGGAAGGGGAAGAAGACAAGGAAACAGGAAATGAGAAGGAGGGGAAGTAAAAGGACAGGACACAGGAGATGAGGAGAAGGATGGGAAGGGAAAGAAGAGGGAGAAAGAAAGAAGAAAGGAAAAGGAGGAAAGGAAGAAGGACGAAGAACAAGAAACAAAGACGAGAACAACTCCAAAGCGACCTGAATGTGGGTGGTAGCACACAGGATGTTGGGAGAAAATGTGATCGAACAGTTTCCAGAAAAGCTGTGCAAATTTCTGCTGAATTTCAAACTCCACAATGGCTCAAATTTGGTTTTAGAGCAACATAAAATTCCTCTCCACCAAAAGCCTGCCGTGTACAGTTATACCTCTTACTAGATCTGCTTAAGCAGTAGACTGGAGACAATGCACCGCACGTTTTGCAAGTTTACATGGTATTTTCCCCCTCTGGAGTATGTATGTCTGTGTGAAGGTTGATGAGGTGGAACCCCCCCACCCCCATTTCCATCACAGTCCTTGGAAACCCTATACAGGGTCACTGTGAGTGGGATCCAACTTGATGGCATTTAACAATAATTACAAAGTCTTTACAGAAGCAGCCAGCCTCATCCTTGTCCTCTGGGGCCACTGGTATGCTCAAACCACCAAGCCTTCATTTAAGCAGTCCAATGCTTAGTCCACTGCATTACCAGTGCCCATTTCCTTGGGAAGACCTACTTCCTAAAAGAGTTTTCTACTTCCACCTGACACTAGGTTGTGCCTACGGTAAACGAGTCAGGAAATAAACATGAATACACCGAGAGCTTGCGCACAAGCCTGTGTTTAATGATTTCTAAACCTTTTTTCCAATGTTACAGTAATTTAAGTGAAATGTGGTTAGCAAAGCTTAAAGATAGAAATCTATATGTTATGGAATAAGATGTTTCTTTAAATGTATGATATTATGCCACCAGTGACATCAAATAAATTGCTCCTTGTTTATTATTATGTTTTACCTTGCTGAATCAGTACCACAGTCGATAACAGCTTCAAAGAATTAATATGCTTATCAAAAGGAAAATCAGTTTATATCTCTGCTGAATGCTGGGCCATCAGAGAGAAAGCAACATGACACGCCCATCCCACATTTTTGTTATTAGTCATTTATTTTAAAGGTAAATCTTTTCTAGCCTCTTGACACATCTAAATGCTACTCATCAAATTAACTGGAACAGGTCAAAGTGAATATAAAGAAGTTATTTTTAGTAAACAACTTATATCTAGGTTATAATTACATAAAATGCTGAAAGCCACTCATTTGTATAAATCATTATTCTTTTCTTTTCCTTAACAGGAATTTGGTCCATGTGAAGCTCTACTATTGATATTTCAAGTAAATCAGCACAGATACAATCAAATATAAACTCTAAGCAATGACTCGAATAGAAAGGGACCCCGAATTACAATACACCTTTGGGGATATATACTAATGTTATATTTGCTGTGGTTTTCTCTTCTACCTAACAAGGCCACATTTTCATAGAGAGGTGTTTAAAAGCAAGATTAATTATGTTCTTCAAACCATCCACTCCCCCAAAACAAAAGTCTCCAAGAAAGCAGCAGATTTTTCTTGACAAGTAAAATTCGGAATAATTCTGAGTTGAATAACTGAAAAACAGATGATTCTTTGAGGTCTAGAGATATTTGATAATAATATGAAGACATTTAAAACAGACAGGGAAATAATACAGACAATTCTTTCAATCTCTTCATAGAAGAATCACAGACTCTTTTTCATGGATCTTCCTGAGCTAGTCATTTCAATAAATCCCTCCATTTGAGAGTTTCCTTTCTAGACATGATTTTCTTTTCATCTAATTGCAAACAATTCGTAAATACGCCACCAGACAATCCTGCTGGACTTTTGGGGGTAGATGTGCCACTTGTTCCTTTTAAATGCTTTTGGACAAAATCTTGTCTTTACCCTTTGCCCCTGTGTCCCTCACTTGTATGCAATTCCTCTTGGTGGTTTGAGACAGAGAGAGGTCCGACAACGAATAAACATCAGCTCAAGCCAAGTCAGGCGCTCACATAAAGAATGCCATCACAGAAGGAAAGTGGGGGAGTAGCATTCATTTTTCAAATTAAATGTAAAAGCCTTCGCTCGTAAAGAGACTGGCACTTTTTACAAATAGCATCAGTGAGCCTTTTAGGAAGAAACACTCCCCTCACCCACCCACCCCCGCCCCCTTGGAAAGCAGTCATCCGGCAATACATTTATTTGGAGTTCAATTAACCTTTTGTGGAAAGGATGGTAGGCTGTCCCGGTTTCGGTGGTGGAGGTCAGTGACAAATACTAAGACAGTAACATGTCACTGCCAAGGCCGGCCCAGGAAGGAGAAGCGGCCTGTTTCTGTATTCTCCTCTGCATTTGCAGGGAGCGGGCCATCTTGACCCATCCATTTATGTAATTAAAGATTCCATTTGGAAATGTGCTGCAGGAAGGTGAAGTTGGGGGGCAGATGAACGGCTGGTACTTGTCCTGCCCAGCCACTAGCTCCATCTACTGATGGACAGCCAGCCTCTCATCAAACTAGACATGGATCTGCCGCAGAGAGTTCACTCAGGCAAAGCCACTCTGTCATTTTCTTTCTCGCTAGCTATAATTTAATTGTTTGTCAAGGTGGACGGTGGACACCAGGGGGGCTTTTACTGAGAGCTTCCCCACTATCTTCCATTTGCAGATAAAAGCCTGGGCTTTATTGACTTACTGGCCAAGTTTGTTTGGCACAGGGAGATGTCACTTCAATGAGCGCAGCTGGCTGTCACAGCTGTGCCCAACTCACCTTCCAGGCAATCTTGTTTCCTTTGGAGTCGTGCTCAAGGGCAATGGGGAAGTCTCCTCGCTCATAAAATTTCCGAAATGCTGTGGGCTTTGTGGGTCTTTCTTTAAATGCTCCTGCAGTGGGGGGACCTCTCACCTGCAAAGCAACAGAAAACAGACAGCAATCAGCTTCTAAAACACACACACATACACACAGAAAAATCCCTAATGAGACAGCTTTTTGGTTTTTAAAAATATTGCATCTTGTATAAAACAAGATGGAAGAGGGAAATTACAATATCTCTTCATGGACAAGAGAAATCTCAAGAATACCAACATCTGTGGCAGAAAATTATTCTGTAACCACTTCTGAGGGGTGACTTTATTTTCCACTATTTCAGAAAGCATTTCTATAAAGTACCACTTTTGAAATATTATATTACAAGGAAAAGGAGCATAAAGTTTTGTTTCATAAGACCATTTTAATACAGGTCTCTAAGCTCAGAGTGCCTAATACAGTTGTGGAACACTCAATGATATATTTCAGAATTCCATTTCAATCTTTCTGTAGATAAAGTGAGGGGTAGGTTCTCAGACAGACTAAAACAGCCAAACTGTTTAGCTGTAATATAGAATTCAGCCATGGTAACAGAGAGGATTTTTGAAAGAAAATAATCGTGGCCTACTCTGTGAGTGTCTGGCATACATTTCCCAATATAATTTCATGAGGAAGTCACGTCAGACAGTGTTAGAATGTTCACCTCCCTGAGATGTGATTTCATCAAAGAAGGAGTATCCCATATTGAGTTATTGACACTAAGTGTATCTCTCAGATCTGCATGATTGATACAAAATCCAAAGTGACCAGTAGAGTATTTAGAACATGATAGCCTGCAGACGGTTCCATACACAGAATTGAACCCTGGCTGACTTTCCCTGTGTTAGTGGTGAGGCTTCGATCCCTACCTGGCTGGAATGAGATGATGCTCCCTGACCCTTACCTGAAGAAGCCAGTTAAAACAGAATCTAGTGTTCCATAACAGAATTTCCCAGATGGCCGGCTTTCCATGGAAAACCCAGTCTTCCTACCGAAAACCAAGAATATTTCAACCAGAATGGAAAATAACAATGCATAGGTGCCAACTCTGAGATGACACAGATGCTAGAATTTTCTGTCCAACATTTTAACGCAGTCGTTACCAAAAAATGCTCCAGTGGTCAAGTAGGAACACACTTTCAACAATGAAAAAGTCATCTCTGCAAAGAAATGGAAGGCGTAATGGGCCACCAATGAAAACTTCAAAACTAAAAATGAAAGGAAAGCTTAGGTCCAATAGCTGAATGAAGGAAGTCAAAGAAAAAAATAGGTGAACTTGAAGATAAAGCAAGAAAAATTACCAAGTCTAAGACACAGAGAAAATAAAGAGTCTGAACAAAGATGACAGAGCTTCTGGGACCGGTGGTATTATAACAACATTTTAACATTTATGTCCTTGAGATTCTAGAAGAGGAGGAGAAAGAGGACAGGGCTGGAAAAGGAGTCATGAAATCATACCTGAAAAACATCCCCAAATGCCAAGAAACATAGAACTACAGATGTAAAAAACTTGAGCAAATCTCAAATTGTATCAACTCAAGGCAAGTCATACCAGAGCACACAATAACTGGTTACGGTGGTGTGCCCTGCAGTAAGTTCTGACTCATAGTGACCCTGTACAGGGCTTCCAAGGCTGTAAATCTTTATGGCATCAGAAAGGCTCATTTTTCTCCCACAGAACAAGTGGTAGTTTTGAACTTCTGACCTCAAGGTTAGCAGTCCAACTCGTAACCACTATACTACCAGAGCTTCTTAAATGACTTCAGAAAACTAAAGCTAAAGAGAGTAAAGTGACCTGTTACCTCTAAGGGAAGCCATTCAAACAGCAATGGAGTTGTCATCAAACTCCATGAGAACCAAGGCAAGTGGCATGGGACTTTTCAAGGACTAAAAGAAAAGAACTATCACCCCCAAATCCCATGTCCAGCTAAAATACTCTTCAAGAATAAAGGTGAAATTAAGATGTTTTCAGATGGAGAGAAATTGAGAAGTTGTTGACAGCAGATCCACCCTGAAAAATGCCTAAGGAAGATCTCTTAACAGAATGGAAACCACAGAACAAAAAACTAGGGATATCAGACAGGGAGGAAGAGCCTGGTTAAAATATGGCTGAATATAGTAAACTTCCCTTTACACCTTCAGTTTTCCATGTTATGTGTAATGCATGAGGCAAAATTATGTATGAAGAAAGAATATTTTGAACAATTTTATTATAAATAGAGAAGAGTAATGGACCGCATAGGGAGGTAATATTTCTACATTCCATTTGAGCTGATAAAGTAATAAGCTGTGTATATGTAATAAAATGCTTAGATCAGCCATTAAAAAGCTATACAAAGAGATCTGCTCAAAAGCACTACAGATAGATCAGAACAGAATTTTAAATATATTCAAGGAACCCACAGGAAGGCAGGAAAAAGAAAACCTAACTGTAAAACACCAGGCTAAACAGAACACAAAAATTGAAATACTGAAGACGTAACATAGCAATTATTATATTAAATACAAATGGTCTAAATATGTCAATTAAAATATTCAGATTGCTAGAATAAATTTAAACATAACAAAATTAAAAAAAGAAAAGAAAGATAAGACTTAATGATCTGACGGACTGGTGGAACCTTTCATACCTGGAACTGAATCCAGTCCCGTCCCTCCTCTAGAGTGTCTGTGAGTCAGAAGCTACTCTAGAGGAAGTTTGAAGTTTGAAGTTTTGACCAAAGGGCACCTGGTGCCACAGTAGTTAAAGTCCCTAACTGAAAGGTCAGTGGTTTAAACCCACCAGTGGCTCTGTAGGAAACATGTGGTAGTCTTAGAAAGATTTGTTGATGTTGTTAGGTGCCATCGAGTCAGTACTGACTCATAGCAACCCTATGCCCAACAGAAAAAAACACTGAACAGTCCTGGGCCAAGCTCACAATTGTTGCCATGCTTGAGCCCTTCATGCGGCCACTTTGACAATCCATCTTATTGGGGGTCTTCCTCTTTTTCTCTGACCCTCCACCTTACCAAACATGATATCCTTCTCCAGCGACTGCTCCCTCCAGACAATATGTCTGAAATATGAGAAACGAAGTTTGGCCATCTTGGCCTCTAATGAGCACTCTGGCTGTACTTCTTCCAAAATGGATCTATTGGTTCTTTTAGCAGCCCATGGCACTTTCAATATTCTCCTTCAACACCATAATTCAAAAGCATCAATTCTTCTACTGTCTTCTTTATTCATTGCCCACCTTTCACATGCATATGGGGTTACTGAAAATACCATGGTTTGGGTCAGCACACCTTAGGCCCCAAGCTGACATCTTTGCTCTTCAAGACTTTAAAAAGGTCTTGTGCAGTAGATTTGACTAATGCAATACGTCATTTAATTTCTTGACTACTGCTTTCACTAGTGTTGATACTTGATCCAAGAAGAATGAAGTCCTTCACAACTTTAATGTTTTCTCTGATGATAAAAATGTTGTTTATTGGTCCAGTGGTGAGGATTTTTGTTTCCTTTACATTGAGATGCAATTCAAACTGAAGGCTGTGCTCTTTGATCTTCATCAGTAAATATTTCAAGTCCTCTTCACTTTCAGCAAGCATCTGCATATCACAGGTTGTCAATGAGTCTTTCTCCAATCCTGATGCCATGTTTTTCTTCATAGAACTCAGCTTCTCAGATTATTAGTTCAGCATACAGGTTGAATAAAATTATGCACCAACCATTAAGCCAGTGAAGATGAAATAGAAGAATTCTACAAACTTATTCAATCTGAAACTGATCAAACATGCAATGAAGATGTATTGCTCATTATTGGTGATTGGAATGCAAAGGTTGGGAGCAAAGAGGAAGACAAGTAGTTGGAAAACATGGCCTTGGTGATAGAAATTATGCTGGAGAACGCATGATAGAATTCTGCAAAACCACTGATTTGTTCATTTCAAATACCTTCTTTAGGCAGCATAAGAGACACCTGTACACATGGACCTCACCAGGTGGGATACATAGAAATAAAGTTGACGACATCTGCTGAAAGAGATGATGGAAAAGCACCATATCATCAGTGAAAATAAGGCCAGGGGCAGACTGTGGGACAGACCATCAATTATTCATATGCAAATTCAAACTGAAGCTGAAGAAAATGAAAACAAGTCCATGAGAGCCAAAATATGACCTTGAATATATCCCACCTAAATTTACAGATCATCTGCAAAACACATTTAATACGTTACACACTAAAGACCAAAGACCAGAAGAGTTGTGGAATGACATCAAGAACATCATATATGAAGAAAGTAAGAAGTCATTGAGAAGATAAGAAAGAAGGAAAAGGTCATAATGGATGTCAGAAGAGACACTGAAATTTGCTCTCCAGCGCAGAGAAGCTAAAGCAAATGGAAGAAATAAGGAGTTCCTAGAGCTGAACAGAAAATTCCAAAGGTCACTAGAGAAGAAAAAGCCAAATATTACAATAAAATGTGCAAAGATCTGTAATCAGAAAACCAAAGAGGAAGAACACGCTCAGCATTTCTCAAACTGGGGGAACTGAAGAAAAAATTCAAGCCTTGACTTTCATTATTGAAAGATTCTCTGGACAAATTATTGAATGATGCAAAAAGCATCAAGAGAAGATGGAAGGAATACACAGAGTCACTGTAACAAAAGGAAATGGTTAATGTTCAACTATTTCAAGAGGCAGGACATGATCAAGAGCCAATGCTACTGAAGGAGGAAGTCCAAGGTGCATTGAAGGAATTGGCAAAGCACAAGGCACCAGGAATTGATGGAATAAAAACTCAAATCTTTCAAGAAAGTGAGGCAGCACAGGAGGCACTCACTCACCTCGGCCATGAAATTTGGAAGACAACTATCTGGCCGACCGATTGGAAGAGATCCATATTTGTACCCATTACAAAGAGAAGTGACCCAACAGAATGTGGAAATCATCGGACAATTTCTTTGATATATCATGCAAGTAAATTTTTTCTAAAGGTCATACAGAAACGGCTACAATCATACATTGACAGAGAACTTCCAGAGGTTCAAGACGGATTCAGAAGAGGCCGTGGAATGA